TACGAAACCCTGTTGTCCAAACCAACTATTCCACCGAAATGCTTTATTAAGCAGAAAGCGTCAAATATGTAAAAAAAAGTTTTGGGAAGTTGACTCAAAAATCCAACCCAGAAGTGTTATCACCTCTTCCCGTCACTCAGGCATTCCTACACACTGGAGCGTGCATCGAACATTATTCCCTTCCAATTAGAAAGATAATTTAAGCCAAGTCAAGAGACCCGTTGAAGTGGTAGGGAAATCCGACTCTACCTTGGTATTGTTTGTTGACGATTTCAAAGCGTGCAAGGTAAACAAACCGACCTTGCCTCTTGTTTATAAGAACAGGGATAATACTAGAGCAAAAATCGCGTACAATCAGGAGCACATCCACTTACTGCATCTGGAGAGGCGAAAGTTAGCCGAAGTTCTTCCGTATTCTTCTGCTGAGCCGCTGCCGCAGCCAACCCACGTCGTGAGAGGACGGCCATTCGGGATAAGGACCTGGCCAACATCCTTTAAAGAAGCCCTGAAAATCGGAATTTAGATACAAAATGGAATTGTGATTCATAAGCAAACTTAGTCAAATTTTAAAATGTTGATTCAACACATAAAAAGGAAGGCAAACAAATCAGCGTAACACCACCAAATGAAACAACTAGTTAACTTCTTCCGAGAATGTGAATCTCACTAGAGCGCACTGCCCACACAACACTAAATCAGCAAGTTCCAAAAAAAGGAACTGAAGGACCCACCCCCTCAAAATACTAAACAAAACTCAGAAGGAACCAAGAAAGCTCTTCAGAAAACCACGCAAATTTAATACCGTACTCGATGCCTGCACATCAAAGTGCTTGACAGTAAACTTGTTCGATTGGGGCGCGAAAACGATTTTGTGACTATAGTGGCTGCGTGGCGGGTTAAACCGAACTCTGATCTATCCTTAGGAGGAGGGGCGCCATGGTGGGGTAGATGCGTCGCCGGCATTCGACACAATCGTATCGCGAAGGGCCGTCTGTAGGAAGGTCCTTAGGACTAAGTTTGCGGTGAGGGATAGAGCGAACGAAAACTGCACACACACACCCCGGAGTATCTTCTCCTCTAAGGTCTAGTCCTAAAACTGAGCTTTTCCGTAACCCTCAACGCTATGTTAAGGGCTCCCTTGAGAGAAATTTTCTTAGGAAAAGCTTCGGGTGGATGTGAAAGCAAAAGCGAAGTTGTTCGCGCACCCCAGACCAAGGTCAACCGTTAATTGTGCAAGTTCAGCAACGGGATCGAATCTAAATTAAACTAAAGGGCAAAGGGGG